ACCTTCCGCGTAGCCCTTAAAACCTGGCTGTCCCATCAGGCCTGGGGTTAAAGACCACAACCCACCCGAATTGTATGAATGTTGTGCTTTTTAATGATGTACTGTCTTATGTGTTTAATCTGTTTATCCTCCCTTCCTTCCGAATTGTGAGCCGCCCTGAGTCCCCCCAGGGAAAAGGGCGGCATATAAATAAACTACTCATACTCATACTATAATAGCAGTTTTGTGGATTTGTGGCACTACACTCCAGGGCCCCTAACTTAAGATATTTTAAAACAGTTTCTGGAGATTGAAATTGGGACCCTTCATTGGTGTAAAACATGTACCTTCCTTAACCAAAGAGTTCCAGTGGCACTTCCCTGCTATACATTACAAAACGAAGACAACATTGTTCAAAATTTCACATAATGTTTGGAAGATAAAACAGGTTGACAACTGTCAGGTTAAAGAAACATGTTTCTTCCTTTTTAGGTTGATCTATTTCAGCTGCAAGTAAACACACTAAGAAGATACAAAAGGCACTTCAAATTACAGACTAGACCCGGACTTAATAAAGCACAACTTGTTGAAGTAAGTAGGACTTTATTTTTTCTTTTGAGTACAAAAAATTAAATGTGCCATAATACATAATTTTTCCGAATTGTACTATAGCTTTTAAATGCTTTAATTCTGAGGGCTTCTTTTCGTTCCAATGATTGCTTATATCTCCCTCCAAGTTCTATTTCTGCAAATCTTTGCTATTCCTTCATGTTGACATCTATATAGTTTGACAACAAGGTTAGGGAAAACATCTGCTCACTTAATAAATGTACCTGGCCAGGTTTGGATGGATGAAGAGTCTATTGCTTTGACATATGTTGGTACCACATCTTTCTCGTCTTTAATTGCCTGGGTTTGAAGTCTGTAGAAGAGGCTCTCCTCTAAATTTCCACTTTTGGAAGTTATGCATTAAGTGTAGCTCCAAAGAAATGTTATTTGGGACCACCCCGACACACACTTATGAAATAACTTTCCTTTGAGCTTTTTAGAAAGTGGTTCAAGACTGGCCATTTCAAAAGACCTTTAGTTTTTAGCAATAGCAATAGACTTATATACCGCTTCATAGGGCTTTCAGCCCTCTCTAAGCGGTTTNGTCCCTCTTTTCCAATCTGAAAATCTGGTCACCTTACCATACAGCCCTATTCATGTTTATGTCCCTTTGTTCATTACAGTTTGTTCTCAATACACTACATTTTAAACCTGAAATTCAATAATTATAATTTCTTTTCACTAATTCCACTTAGGTATTAAAATTGATGCTGCAGTTTTTACAGGATTCTCTGTATTTTCGTAAGAATAAACATTGAAAGAAATGGTGCAAAAGCTAAGATTAGATTATACAAAACTTGAGTAATATGTTTTGTTTAATTATTGGATTTAGACCCTTGGGACCTTATGATGGCTCACCCCCTCATTTCTTCAACAGTCATATAAAAGTTTGCTAAAGAGTTACTGATCTTCAAAGTCAACTTGAAACATGAATCCAAATTTCACAGATCCTGGTTCCAGTGTTATGACAACCATATTTTATTAAACCATGTCTTTAGATTTGGTATAATCTGCCTTAGTTAAGCATCAGTGGGATATGTAAAATGTACACAAACGTCCATAGGAAACTTTCTGTTTACTCTCAGAATGATTCTAAACAAAAAACAGAACAATACTATAAAAATACCTGCTTAGCAGGGGAGAGTAGACTTTATTTAAATTTTTATAAATGTAAAAATATAAAAAAGCAATAAAATACACTTTCAGCCTGGTATAATGCAAATTAGGAGGGCCCACAACTGTGAGCTTGTTTTGTTTGAAATTCCTGGCTTGATCACATTTAGAGGAGCCAGTCTAAGGAAAACTAATTCTGGCACTGGATCCCACTGAACCCAGTGGTACTTATTTTACAAACGCATGCATATGATTTCCTCAACAGCATGTTTTTAAAAAGATAGCTGCCTATAGTAGCCTTCCTACTCCATGCTAAAAAGCTAAGCAGACTGCATATTATATTCCTACTTGACCTAAAAACAAATTCAATTTATAAACATTTTAGCAGCTAAAATGATACAGTGATCAAAAGCTGCTTTGCATGAATGTCTTCACCTGTCAAACTACTGTTAGAATTTGTCATATTAGCAGTCTCATAAGAAGGAAGATATTTTGATGGCAACGATTTTTGAAATCCTATTGAACAGAGAAATAATCTTGAAATATCATCTAGGATCTAGGATGCTTCATGTGGGCATTCCAAAGATAAGAATTAAGGACTGTCGTTGCAGGCTTGCTTCAGAGCTTTCCTATATACGGTACATGTAGAAATGGCGCATTCTTGCTTTCATGAATCTTCATCAGAACTACAGATGAATATTTCAAATGAACTCAAATATACTAATGGACTAATGTCCAAACCTAGTGTATCAGTGCTAGAACGAAGGACTTCTATTTTGAAAAAGGACTTAATAAAGCTTTTAAAAATACTTAAGATACTTTGTTTTTTCTCCTTATAAAGCTATTTTTCTCCAGAGTAAACATACATATTCAATTGTTCACATTGAAAAAAATTAAGATTCATTTTGTTCTTCCAATCATGATGAGTCACTAATACAGTATAAATGATCAGTTCTGACTTTGATACGAGATTTGAGTATGAATCTACAGTGTATCTATTCAGAAGAAATAAAATTCCACAGAGTCCTACTTAAGATGTATAGGACAGCAATGTAAAACAAACAAATGTGTTGGATTGTTATAGTATTCAATATATGCAATAATTTGACTGCTACTGAGATTTTCATTAGTTTCTGTTGCAATTAGCTTAACATAGTGAATAAATTAAGGTATGGCAGATCTTGTTCTTAACCTCTCCACTTCTTCCTAAAATAGAGCAGAATAGAATCAACATTTGAATTGAATTATTATATGCAATAACACTAAGGTGTTTCAAAACAATACTGCAAGCTGCTTTATACTTAAATGAATTATAAAGTTCATTTAATTATATTTAGAAATGTTAATATAATGTTTTGAGTCATGTGTTATAAATACTTTATCCCTTTATTTAAATTCCAAGCAGTTATTGAAATGTTATCAGTTCAGGATAGAAACTTGATGCTTGTAAACACTTCAGGGTTTAACCAAAATTCTTTTGTTCTGATTTTTAAGTGGGAATTATTGAAAAGCAACAACAGCAACATGGTACTTGCAAATGGAGATTGTGACATGCTCAGAAAAGAAAAATGGCTTCAAAATAAATAAAAAAATCATAGACATGATTTCTTTTAGTTATCCTGGAACCAAGCCAGGTAGGACTTTATGTTCAAAAGCAGCACTACTAGTATGAAATAGTCATTTTGAATAGGAATATCACCTACTAACATCTTGGCTGCTACCTTTTGTCCCAAAGATAGCTTAAGATCTTTTCCAGAGTCAGGCTTATACAGAGAGCATTGCAGTATACTTACCTAATTGCATAGTGATGAGTTCATGGGTTACTGTTGCCACAGTGGAGACATCTGAGGCCTTTCAGACCTTAGAGAACTACAATTCTCATGGAACCTCAGCATGGCCAAAGGTAAGGAGGGATGATGAAGTACCTGAAAAGTAACAGGTTCCCCATTCCTGATGCATGTCCCAAAGGTGCTTTTTCAGGAGGCAATTAAACTTTTATTTTTTCTTTGAAGACATTTCGCTTTTCATCCAAGAAGCTTCTTCAGCTCTCACTTAATGGTGAAGAATGGAAGAATTTATATTCTTTCCAGACGGCTGGTCATTTGCATTCTTTTAGAAAGTCATTCAGGCCACTTGGAGCTTTAACTGTGTGCTGAGGGTTACCTGAATAGTGCAAATGGGTGTGGGGCCTTCTTGGCTGCAGGATGTTTTCTGCGGTTCCACCACAAAACCGCGCTCGACTAAACCGCGCCTGACTAAACCGCGTCGCTGACGTCATCAACAGGGCGACAACAGCGCNAATAACTTTCCTTTGAGCTTTTTAGAAAGTGGTTCAAGACTGGCCATTTCAAAAGACCTTTAGTTTTTAGCAATAGCAATAGACTTATATACCGCTTCATAGGGCTTTCAGCCCTCTCTAAGCGGTTTACAGAGAGTCAGCATATTGCCCCCAACAATCCAGGTCCTTCAGTTTTGTTAACTGAAGCTCAAATTAATGTATTATAAATAAAATGGAATCAAATACTATGTAGATTATGAAGAACTTGCAGGGGTAAATTCTAAGTTGAAAACATGATGTCTTTACTGATATAATTGCAAAAATGAAAAGCATGGAAGCAAGCAATTATAACTTTTCATAAATAAACATGGCTAGAATCTGAAGTGGATTTAACTTCTAGAAAGACAACTTGAGAACAAGATAGAAAACTCATTGATAAATGTTGGCTTATAATGTTACAACAATGAAAAGGTAGAAGAGTAGAAACAATGGAAAAGCAATCTAGGCCTGGAAATGATCAGAAAAGAGATTTTGGGGAAGGGATTGCAGGTATTGGCCACCTGCATTTAGAGAGCTTGCTTATATTATGTGTATATTGCCGATTTGTTTGGGTTTTTAAAATATTTTTATGCTTTTATCCACCTACATCATAATGGAGAGATGGGTAACTATGTACAATAAATGAATTAATGAATGAATACATATAGATAATTGGAAGAAATAGAGTTATTAAAATAGTTTAATAGGCTAAGTATACCCTATTTCCAGAAAATAAGACCTCCCCAGATAATAAGCCCAGTCAGGCTTTTGAACTGAAATAAGCTGAAATAAGCCCTCCCACGAAAATAAGCCCTCCTTGAAAATATTGCAACACAGTAGCAGTCATGAGGGGACCACACTTGCTGCCTTCTGCACCTCAAAAATAAGGCCAAGCGCTTATTTCAGGGGTCAAAAGAAAATAAGACAGGGTCTGTCTTCTTTTCGGGGAAACACGGTAATTATTAGAATAGGTTATATCACCAAATTTAACAAGGGATATTACAAAGGAAACTACTACTGTTATTGTTGTTATTAGCATATGGTGGTGTTACATTAACCAGGAGACCATAATGCTATTGTAAAGTGGTAGTTTGGCTGCCAAGGTACCAGCTCTGTTGTAGGAAATGCTCACACACTTCTCACGCACACCACAAAAGAGCAAGCTGGCTTCATACCAGAAAAAAGAAAAAGTAGCTCTTCCTGCAGCAGGCCCTCTTCCTCCTAGAACTGCCTCTCCAACAGGTGCTGCAACCAGGAAGATTCAGAGGGTAGGAAAATGACGCCCTGGATGGAGCACCAGCTTATTTCCCCCACCAAAGTGGTACCTATTTTATCTACTAGCATAGAACATGCTTTCAAACTTTTAACAAGTTAGCTGAGGTGAGTGACAGGCTCTTACCCTGATATGCATTGCTAGGACTCAAACCACTGGGGTGGAGATCATCTCCAATGTGGTCATGAAGCCACTGCGCCTCTTAAAGGAAACTGATTGAATGTAGTATTCAAACATCAGAAATATAATATGAAACAGTACTTCTGGTTTTCATCAAGAACAGGGGTCCACAAGTCCTTGTGCATGAACCAGCAGCGATCCATAGCATGGCAGAAACTGGTCCTTGCAAACAAGCAGAGGCCCATCTACAGGATGCAGGCAGCACACAAAACCACACACTGGTCTGTGAAAAAAATATCTCTCCACAGAACTGTTCCCTGGTGCTCAACACGTTGGGGGCTACTGATCAAGAACATTTGATTGAATCAAGCTTACTTTTGTTTATCTTGAGGATATTTTGAAAATTTAGAAAACTTCTCGAGTTCTTCATTCTGTGTAGCAAAAACTCGTCCAATAGGTATAGATTAAAATGTGGCTACTTTATCAAGGTGATGATGCATAATTGTCCCAGTATGGACCCTTGATATTTCAGTGTGTGTTTTTTATAATTTGCATAAAAGAATAGCACATAATTAAGGCAGGAGACAAAAACATTAATATTAGATCCTTAACTATATCAAACTAAAAAACGTTTTTAACAAACTTTAAAAAGATGGCATTCATGAGTTGTTGAATTCTCAAGTTTTTCAAAATATTATAAGGAAATGAGTCATATTTGATAATGTATTAAACTTATTTTACAGGTTACTTTGATAAGTTAATCTTTAATATATTGCATCATTTCATTTAAGATACATGATGGTATAATGGGTATAAGGTTTTTTTTATTATTCCTTAATCAAAGCGTAACAATTATGTTATTATTTTTAATGTACTTTTTAAGAAGACTGGTATCTTAATGCTTCCATTATTTCATGAATTCCTTAACATTTTAATAAATTATTATTACTTGGCTTACTTCTTAGACCATTGTCCAATCTTTTTTTCCAACATATAGACAAATACTTTTTTCCCCCTCTCTAGATAATTGGATGTCATTTTCGGACTATTCCAGTGAATGAAAAGGATACCTTAACCTATTTCATCTATTCAGTGAAGAATGACAAGAACAAATCTGATCTAAAAATGGATAGCAGTATTCACTAAATAAACAAACTTAAGACTTACAGACCTGAAGACTGGTTTGGATGTTCTGAGCTTTTTTTGTATTAGTATTCAGAGTATTCTGATGTTATTTTTCTTGGGAAAATACTATTCTCATAAATTAGGTTTCCATGATGAAAGTATTTTAAATAAATACTATTGATGTCCCTGTGCCTATATCGGAATAATAACTGACATTTCTGTAAGCTTTAATATTAAAGCTCCATTTCATTTATTCAGAATTATGTCCAAAGAATATTTTATTTATTTTCATTTATTCAGAATTATGTCCAAAGAATATTTTAAGGCCTTTATGCATCAGAGCTCTTATATTTTCTCAGGTATATATTTTTAAATCCTTAATACCTTTCTAAGCAAAATTTAAAGATTATGTAAAGTCACACACTTTACAGTTCTAGAGATTTGTCAGTTGACTAAATTAGTACCTGTTTGTGTAAAAGCCTGGGAAATGTTGATTACAAACTGTTTTATGCTGAGTAGTTTTGTATGATGTCTGAATTCATTGATCCTTGCAACTGCATTGCAGCTGCAGAAGATTATCACCTTGGAAAGGAAGAATTTTGAACTAAACACTAGAACTACTTTTGTTTTTCAAAAGACACTTCATCCATTTGAATGTTGCTCATGCTTTTTAAATGCATACAGATTTTATAATGAAAGTGGTTGAGCAAGGATAAGTATATTTAGCTATAACATTCCTTGATGTCTTTGTATGATTTTGAATATTTCATCTGAGTGACCTCAGATGCTCTTGTTTGCACGATTTGTCCTTTATGTTGTATGATAAAAGTAATGATAAGAATAGTGCTTGTTTTTTTAATTGACTGTAAAGTCTGTATGCATTTAAAACGAATGTAGGCTTGTTTGAAAACTCCAAGCATGATTTGCCCTCTGTGCCATGCCTACTCTAAATCATGATTTAGATGACATTAATGAGTCTTAAGGCTCATTTGTGGCATTAAGGAACCAATATGTCTTTTTTATTTTAAATGAACTCATTAGGGTATTCAGCATTCTGGATAGGAAGCAAAAAAGGTGTTTTAAGATGCATGATAATGCATTCTGAATCTGTGAGCCTGCATATGATGCTGCATTTGTTTTCTGGGCTTGCCCGGTGTCTATAATAAAGATTCAGAAAAAAGAATCATATTTAACTAAGGAGGAACTGGCATTGATATGCATGGCATAATATCTCAAAGACATATTTTCCTGAAATCATGTAGCTGCTATGCAGTGTCTTTGAGGAAATACCAAGAAGCATAATCATGCTTGGTATTTCTTCAATCATGCCAGCACCTTTACTTTTCAGATAATGTGCTGGAAGTCTATACTTACCTATTATATTACAGTCTATAATAAGAACCATTTGATTTTGTGGTCAGAAACGAAACTATAAATTTACTGGAATGTCTTGAATTGCTGTCCTAACTGCTAACTGCTACACTTTGTATAACTGATTTATTTTCTTCAGTAGCAGACAAGCAATATAGTCCTCAACGTTCCATCACAATTGAGCCCAAAAATTTTGTTGGTAAGCAAAGAATAGACATATCAGAAATAAACAAGTGTCACCAACAGTTTTCCAATTGCCTTCTACATTGCAGGGCAATATATTTCAGGAATGTTCATCAGAGCTATGACAAGATTTGTGTTTTGAGAATTAATTGTAGATATTTACTTTATGACATGCATGTTGTAAGGCCACTCAACTCACGTGATGTGAGTCTGGGCTGAAAACGAAAAACAAGCAAAATACATTATTAAAAAAATTCCAATAAATAAAATATAAATGTTTTATGGCAAAGAAACAAAATAATTAAACAAAGTCCACTTGACCCAAATGTTGGTAAAGTCAGGGTATAGCAGAAGTACAACTTGATAGACCATGGCCAGATATGAAAAAACACTCAATGGTGCCCTACCAGATCTTCTTGCTAAGTTTAAATCTCTATTCCTCACAATCCCGTCTACTGTGTTTCCCCAAAAATAGGACCTACCCCCCAAAATAAGTCCTAGTTTGGTTTTTACACTTGCACCTGATATAAGCTCTACCCTGAAAATAAGTCCCAGTGGAGGGTATGGTCAGCACAGAAGTTGATTCTTTGTCCAAGGAGCAGATGGAGGGAGAGGTAAGGGGGTGAGGAGACAATCCAGATGCAGCATGCGAGCCATGGGAAAGTCAACAGTCAGATGGAGGGAGAGGCGTGGGGGAATGCATTCCAGGTGATCTTGAAGCACCAAACAGCCTGTGGGAAAGCTAAGAGTCAGTGGACTGGTGTCTCTCGACTTGCCTGCAATCAACATAGCATGTTGGGATTGCCTGCCTTTCACTCCATTGTTCGCCTCTGCTGCTGGTGCTGCCATATGAAGACAAGATTCCTGCATCCGGCTGCCTGCTCGGCCCACTGTCTTACCTTTCATGCAGTCTGTGTGGCGCATCCAGATTGCCTGCCTCACCACTGCCTTTGCCTATGTCTGCTGCTTGAACAGGGAATCAACTCATCTGCTCTGCACAGGCTGCGCAGCCCCAGAGTCTGCCGACCAAGAGATTGGGCTGCATCTGCTGCAAGATACCATCAGTTCCCACGCACGTACCATCTTGTGTGCGTGCCGAAGTGGGGAGGGACACCAGCCGTACTGATCACCCTGAAATCGTGTTTTCCCAAAAATAAGCCCCAGTGCTTCTTTTGGAGCCCCCCAAAATATAAGACTGAGTCTTATTTTTGGGGAAACATGGTATTTCACTGCACACTGTCTCCCAGTCTTGAATTGACTTTACATATAGCTCTTCCAACATATATAGTAAGATGGAGTCAGTGAGTGAGAAGTTCTGAGTAATTATATTTGTATTATTACAATATCAAGTCTGATAAATTAACAGATTAATATTGAAACTGTAATGTTAAACAAGAATTTAAATTTGAGTGGACCATACAGTAAGGTGACCAGACATAACGCTTTTAGCGTGACACCCCCGCTTTTTGATGCATTTTCCCGCGTCCCGCCCGCTTTTTTAAAAGGCACGCTTTTTTTGGCGCTTGCAGCTCCCGCCCATCAGCTGCTGGGCTGGCTCATCGTTCTGTTCTATGCTACCACCTACAAATTTAAGCCAGCCCAGCCTGACGCTCACTGATTTGATTGGCTGGACTCCAGCCAATCAGTGAGCTGGCCAACCAGCTCACTGATTGGCTGGACTCCTTAGCTGAGTGAGGACGCATGCGCGAGTCTCCATTTTATTTCGTCTTTGTTTTGGGCAGCTGCGCTTACTCACGGGTGGTGAGTAAATCATGTTTTGTATTAAATTTGGTACCGTGGGAATCGGGAGGTGCTGGGCTGGGGGAAGGAGACA